CTTAGAAGATTAAAACAGATTATTATAATAAAATTTTAAATAAATTAGCTTTATTTTTTGTCAAAATGTCCTAAAATATCCAAACACTATGTCCCAAAATGTCTCATGTACATCACTAGTAGAGAGTATAGTGAAATAGATTATCTAGAGTGCGATTTGTGCAATGATCATGATGATCGTAATAAATGTGATTTGTGTAATAATCATAACAATTGTAACGAATATGATTCGTGCAATGATCATGACGATTGTAATATGTAATGATCTTTACGATCATGACAATCATGAACCACAACCTAAGAAGTTCTGACAATAGTGTAAATATTAGATAATTATGTAGTAATAGAGGGATTGAGCATGAAAACAGAATAGATAAATAAATATGCATATTAGAAATGTAGTCATAAAGAGATTAGTAAAAAATGATATATAAATGTAAAAAGAGGCAAATAATAAAAAGACAGACATATTTACTTTTGCTTAATGATCTTGGCATCACATTACAAATAGGTTAAAATTTTAGCTCAAATATTGTTAAGCTTAATTTAGGCCAAACTAAGCTTACTTCAGATGAAATTTTAACTTACACCCAGGTATTATTTATAGATAATACGATAGGATTTATACTTACAACTTTTTAATATATTATATATATTTATCATGATTTTATCCTTTATTTCTAGATTTTTGATAAGCTCAAGTACTTTTTCACTGAGATATACACCAGTATGAGATTCGTGTAAAAATATAAAGTCGAGAAGAAGAGTTTTCATTATCCACTCTATATCTACCTAATAAACAGTAATATTAAGAAATTATTGCTTATTACATGCTGTCCAGACATTAATGATAAGTGCTAATTTACTAAAGCTTAATTTTAATACATTTTTATGTCTCTTCTCATTAACTTAAATTTATTTTTAATAGTTAAGGAGATGGTCTGACGGCATAGAAATTTGTATAAAGGATCAAGATTTGAAACAAACTTAATAAAAGTGTCTTCACTAACTATCGAAAAAGACAATTGGCTCCTAATTATTAATTGATATAGGTTATGATTTAAAGAATTTATACATTCTTGGCTGATTTTATTAGTCATAGAATATAAAAAATGAGAAATTTTTGCATTTTTTCGCTTAAAATCTTTGTAGATATCTGGATGCTTATTTTCAAAATGACGTGATATTGTTAACACAGATGTAGACAAGCTCTATTTAGCAATATTTTTTTTCTTCGATATCGGGATCATCAGAGCAGACTTTACAACTATGGATACTACTATCAGTAACATCAAGATAATTATAAACAGGTGATGTTCTTTTTGTTAAATTTTTTTTGTTTTTAGTATTATTAATATCACCTTCGAAATTTTCATAAATATTTTTATTTTAAGGATCAATAATTAAAGAATCAGAGTTAGGACTTGAGGAAACAGAATCAAGAATTAAAAAATTAGAATCAAGAATTGAAGAATCAGGATCAAAGATTAAAGAATCAGGATCAAGGATCGAAGAATTAAGATCAAGAATTAAAAAATCGAGATCAAGAAATGGAGAATCGGAATTAAGAGTTAAAGGAATAAAATTTGAAATTGAAGAAGTGGGTAAGTTAGAGCAAGATATTGGTAAATTAGACAAAAATTTAATATTTGCTAAGAGATTTATTTATTGATTTATTTAATTATTTTTTTTTTAAAAAAGGTTGATGAAAAAAATCCAAGATTTTTATTAGTGATTTAAGCTATTGTTGCTTAAATAAAAGAGTATAATATTCAATATATAAATTAATATAATCATGTATTTTATTAAAAAGAGTTTTTTTAATATGTGCATGCCTATTTAAAAAGCCCCAATTATTTTAATTAAATGAAAAAATATAGTACAAATTAATATAATTATGTAAAAAATTCTTTTAATTATATAAAAGAGTTTGTTTGTTATTCTCATAATTATTTAATAAATTTTGGCAATAGTCATTTTGATTTTTTAATAAATCCTTAATATTGAATTTAATTAATATACAATATATGCAGGGTCAATATTTAAGAGAAGATTAATTAACCCTAATATATAAGGATACTGATATGCAACATTAACATTAAGAGTTAATTTAATTATGGCCAACTAATATTAAGAGGCTATCATTTATTTTTAAAGAACAATTGTATTTATTTTTTTTTATAAGTGAAATACAGGAAGCTTTTAATATACTTTGATAAATTAATCGCCTGTATATTTTTTTTTTTTGCGAAAAGTGATAAAACAACAATTCCACTTCAATAGATTTCAGATTACAAAACAACTTAATATAAAGTACTGTAGAATTAACATTTTAAATAAAATTTTATTGAATTTTAAAAATACACTTGTTAATTAACATAATACAATACGTGTTCTATTAATAATTAGAAAAGTTTTATATTTAACTTTGCAATTGAATTTAATATTAGTAAATAGTATCTCTTAAACCATAATGCAGGCAAATTTGCCTGCTAAAATTTTTTTTGTTGTTGTTTTTTATAATTACTTAAAA